ATATATATATATATAGCAAAGTTAATGGGACAGAATTTAAGAAAGGAAGATAGCTTATTTGTAAGGAGGGAAAAGCAGAAGACAGAAAGCTGCCCCCAACAGCAGGCAGAGTGCTCTGGAAAGATGGATTCCCCTGAGCCTTTGTCCCTGTCTTCTTCTATCAGGACTGGAGACCCTTCCTCCACATGAGTACCTGGAACTTGTCACAATCTGACTGGCTCTCTGGCTGTCTTTGATTTGAATAGCAATGGCACTTGTTCCTATGTGCACATTTCTTTTGGAGAGCTTTGTGATTCCCTCCTGCCCTTTCGTGGGGCATAAGAAGGCAGTTTAAAGTTAGTGATTAAGTAAGGGAATGTGTGTACATAGTGCAGTAACGCAGTGACCCTAGAGTGAGGAAAAAAATATATATATATAAATACATATAGGTGTATATGTTTTTATATACTAAATAAGAGGTAGCCACTCCTTTGCATTTTATTGGAGATGAGGGTAATTATACTTCTGGGTTTTTCTTTTCATGTTTCTGGCTTGGGAGGGGCTCTGCTTATCAACTCTCCCTCTTTTTCATTGACCCCTCCAGTAAAGTTTTAACTCTTTCTAGTCAGGATGAGCCAGAAATCCTAACGAGTCCTTTATTCTGTTCTTTCCCTGCCTGCATACTCCTTACGCCTGCATTTCCTCACAAATCACATTTTGCAGGTTTTGTCCACAGTGATATGAAGAGCTCTACTGAAGTCCCAGGGTAACAAATACTGACGTAAATAGCAAGTAAGGATCCCCAGAAAAACATGTCAGTCTGGATCAAAGCGTACCATAGTAAACTTACACAGCTCTGGCACTGGAGAATCCTTCTACAAGATAAGTGAAGGAACAGGCCAAAGAAATTGAAAAATGTGTGTACTCTAGGGAGACTATTTGAATGAAGAGACATATATAAGTGAAAAAAAGCATAGGATTTGTAATTTAAGATCGTAAACTCTGGGGTTTAATCTAGGTCCTGTAACTCATCAACTGAATTTGGGCAAGCTATATGAACTCTATATTACAGATAGCCAAATTAAGTAGAGATTGATAGAAGCAGTTAGAAAGGGACTAGGTCCAAGGTAGAATCAGAACAGAGATGCAGCAAACGAGGCCTGTGGGCAAGGCTGAATTGATAGAAACTAGACCACGAAACGAAGACATGTTGGCTGAGCCTCAGCAGAGACAATAACTCAAAGCTGTTCTGTAAATAGCACATTTGGTCCAATAAGCCTAAACAACATTAGACTGATGCCTAGAACACACTGACCCTCACTCCTACCTCTTCCAGAAATGCCTTTGTTCTCCTCCATGCTAGGTACTCATATTAGATGAATATTAGCTAAGTAACTGTACTTATAATCCTATAGATTGATTGTAGTTCGACCCAAGGTAACCTGTGATGTAATTTTACTTTATAAAAACTCCCTTGACAAAGAGCCCTAGTGACAACCCACTTTCAGAGCCCTTCCTTTCCTTCAGGAGCTTTCTCTTAGTCAGACACTTCCTACTCTTACTCTTCCCCTTCCTGAGATGTGAACTTGGCACATCTAAAAGGCTGGGAGTTATTTCCATGTAACATCTAAAACCTCAATTTTGGTCAAGGTGATGTTGATTATAATTGTGTCTGTCTTATGGCATTATTACTCCAGGTTAAATGTGTCAATATTGGGGATGTAACTGGCAGAGAGCTTACCTAACTTACTGGAGGCCTTGGGTTCCATCCCCAGTGCCTTTTGGTGGGACATTATAGCACGTGCCTATAAATAATCTCGTTTACTTGGGAAGTTGAGGCAAAAGGACCACAAGTCTGAGACCAGCCTGCACAACTTAGTGATACCCTGTCTCAGAATAAAGTATAAAACTAGCTGAGAATGCAGCTTGGTCTATAGTGCCCCAGGTTGCATTCTTAGTCCCCACCAAAAAAAAACCCCAAACAAAACCAAAAGTGTCACTTAATTTTTGAAATTCTACAAAATTATCTGAATTGGCAAGCTGAGTCTAAATCTTATTGAGGAGTAAATAATACATATGAGTAAACTTAAAAATGTTGAGAAGATTGGTGAGGGTGAGTTTGCTCTGTTACAGTGTCACAGGGATCATATAGGTATGGCACATGTCAAGGAAAAAGCCAACATATTGAAGGGAAAGAACAGAATTCAGGACAGAAAGTTAATGAGGGCCAGGAATGAAAGTCAAACACCATGTTATCTTGGCGTGTTACCAACTTCCTTAATTATATTATTCTAGAGAACTACAAACGTCCTTAATTATATTCTTGTTGCACAAAATATTAGCAGTATTACTAAAAGTGATAGCATTGTATCTTCTGCAGAGAAAATAGACATACAGAAACAATCAGAAGTCTCTTTTGTTGTCTCGTGGATTAATGAGTTCAGTCTGCTTCTACAGAGTTTGCTTACTGAACAATTTTTGATCTCATATAATTAATAAAGAGTAAAAATGAATAAATATTGAAAGAATTAGAGTAGGTAAAGTAGATTTAATATAGTATTCATGATCAGTTGGACAGATAAAGTCTGATTTCAAAATTACAAGCAGGTTTTGTTTTCCCTTCTGCGTTCAGGAAATGATTTTAGTGTTGAAGAATTTAACAAACACTGGCTGTTGCAGAATGAACAGGCTTTCTTTTTTTCATTGTTTTCTTTAGCCCAAAACAAACCCCATTAATTATAATTAATATTGAAACAGCCTTGTCTTCTGCTCACGTGACATGCTCGAAAGAGATAGAATGGTAGCTATTACTTGATTAAAATATTTTTTGGACAATACTGGAAATCAGGACAGCAGTCACCTATGGGGAAAGTAGGTGAAAGTGCTTTGTTTCCTGGAACTCTTTACAGGAAGAACAAGCCTTGAGAATGCAGGCGTATTTTACACAACATTGCTCTAAAGATTCTCTTGTGTTTTTTTATTGTTGTTATTTTGTTTTTACCCATGAGAAAGATGCATGCAATGCAAACTGGGATGCAGATAACAATTCAGTTTACTTTGTTTTCTGGAGGAAAAATTACACCACATCATTGCCATACTTTTATATCCAGCTTTTAAGAACCGGAGGAGCATTTTGAGATACTTCCTAATTCAATTTGTATGTTTATCCCTGTCATTGAAAAAAATATTTTGTTTTCTGCTTTGCTTTGCTCTACCTTCTCTGAATTACCATCTTATTTAATCTTTAATTTTGTGAAGGGGGTCAACTTTCCCGTTAGGGCCTAAAATGAAAAAAGCCAATTGAGAAAGACTAGATTCTCCTTGGCTTATTAGTTCCTAATGTCTGGCTACAGCCAGCCAACCATCTGCAACCCCGAACTCCCTGCTGTGGAACTGGCAGGAGACAAAGAAATGGAAAACAGTACAAGAGTCACTTATGTGAGCACAGAGATTTTGGCAGCTAGTCTGAATTGAGACCATAATCCTCTTTGGAAGTCAGTCTAAAACGGAACTATTCACACAATAAACATGAAATTAAAATCCTGATATAGTAGTGACCCAAAAGGAATGTGAATTCTTCTCCAGGACACAAAGACCCGTGGATGAACTGTGTTTCTAGATTTTTGCTTCAGCTTTCCTGAGAGTAAGTTAACTTCTAAATTGTGGTTATTTTGCATTTGTAAATGTAAAGACTAGAAGCAGAAATACCAAAACATTTGGGTGGAAATCATTACTAGTCGTTTTGATTTTTCAAAGCATATGAGTATTTATATTAAATTTTTATATTGCATGGCTAAATAACCAGTTGGAAGATTTTTCCATTTTACCCCATGACCAAAAGATCTTCGGACAAATAGTACATTTAAAAGAGTAGGCTGTTAGCTACATTGAAAGGAATATGATTTTAAGCTCTTTGAAAGCATGAACTATTTGCAGAGTTAGAACTACTTACTCTTTATTATTTAGTTTTACTGCCAAATGAACTACTAACATGAGAGGACACAAGATTTTCTGAGTTTTGAATTGTTTTAACTGACTTGAGAATGTTTTCATTAACAAAACCTAGAGAAAATACTTTTGTTAAACTTGTTTATCATAGTTAATAAATAAGAATTTTTATCTAATTGTGTTGCAATGCATTTATTCCCTGAATATCAGAAATTCCATCTGACTGGGAAATGATTGACTTTTACAATCAATTTATTACTTTTAAGTTGCACACACTTTTCTATTCAGTGCAATTTGAGGTAACTAGATGCTTTGTGCTACTGCAGTAAGCATTATTCTTTTCTTCCTGATATTTATATAAAAATAGGCAGTGGAAAAGATTAATCTTAACTGAAATCACCACATTTAGGACAACTAAATCATAAAATTTTTCTTATTTATATTTTCTAGTGCATATATTAGTTTATAGAAAGAAAGAAGAGTAGTCACTTGGGCAACATATTAAACACTTGCAGGTACCAAGACCTGTTACAGTATTGATTTTTCAGTGAAAAAATGCAATTTGGTTTTACTTGGGGTTTCCAGCTATCGGGGCCTCTTGATGGCATTATTACTGGGAGGGCATCTATGTACTGGTGAATCCAGCCATAAGGAACAGTAAGAAAGTCTTCGTAATTTTCATAATATTGTCTATGTACTTGCTTTTGCATTTTGCTGCCATTATGTTTGTGTATGTTTTTTTTAATCTTTTTCAGATTTCACTTATAAAAGGTGAATAAAGGATTTAGTTAATCATACTCGTGAGGTTGTGACACAGAAAGAGCCTGTCTTGTTTTATTTCCTTGAACTTCTAGCTCCTGTTTCACACCTGGACTCCATTTCTATTTCCCATGGCCATAGGTGACCCTTTTTTGGTATTTGATCGTAATCCTTTAGTTCCTGGATATTTTTGGAAAATATGTATTGCATATAGTATAAATTCATATAAATCATATCATAATATAAGTGAAACTTTGTTTCTCATTTTAAAAGTAGCATTATGTTTTAGCTCCATGTGAATGAGTAAAGGCCAATCTTTGCTTTTAACTCCTATCTAGTACTGTTTGGATGGTATGCTTTAAAATTTGTTTTACTACACCATACCACAATAATCTACATCATGAAAAACATTCATATACAGACTCCCTAGTGAACCCATAAGAGAATTTTCTTGGGATACATATCTAGGAGCAGAACTGATAAATAGTAGGATACTGCTTAGTAGTAATGAAAATGTAATAAATCACCTAAGTGACTAAGTCTGTCCTTCCACCATTAGTATATAATCCCCATTAGACAATTTTATCCCCATTAGACAGTTTAACTGCCAAGTGCTGCGGGGACAACAGCTCTTGATGCTATTAAGCTCTCTAATTTCTGTCAGTGCAATGAGAAATAAATTCTATCTCAATTATTTTAATTTTTATTTCTTTCCATTCTGAGCATTTCTTTGTTCTCTCTCTTTTTTATTCTTTTTAAATCTTTGAGCATTCTTCTCTGAGCATGCAATTGGAAACAGCTGTTAAAACGTTTCTTTTTTGTTTGATTGCACAATGTTTTCTATTTTAGACATTCATATTTGCTTCCTCTACTTCTTCATTTTAAAAATAAACAGGTCAAAATGGGCAAGAGGCACAAAAGTGTGGGCCGACAAATGTGGACTTTGCTCTGCAAGAACTGCCTTAAAAAGTGGAGAATGAAAAGAGAGACCACGTTGGTACGATTTAGTCTGTGTCCTCGTAATTAGAGGGGAAAAATACTTTCTCAGCAACACAAACACTTTATCTTCATCATTTAATGTTTTCTGTACATTCTAATCCTAATCAGCAGGCTGGATTTTTTTTCCAAATCCTGGACTCTGCTATTTTCAAATAAAATTAAACATTTATTTTTCTTATTTTTATTTTTATTTTTTTTTTGTACTGGGGATCGAACTCGGGTCCTTGTGCTTACAAGGCAGGTGGAGGAACCACTGAGCTAAATCCCCAGCTAAAAATTTCTAATTATTGTATGTTTTACTGGAGATATTTTTTAAAGCGCTCATATTCAGAAACTCCTTTAAAATGAAGCTATATCTCTATACTACAGAGAAAACTTCTCACGTCTGAACTCAATTGAATTTAATGAAACCATTTACACAGTATTTCAAGGCCTAAGTCAAAGAGGCAGAATGTAGCACAGATTTAATTCAGAATTGACCCAAATTTTTAAAGAAACAAAAGAATGTTCTTACAATAAATAAATAATAAAAATGAAAGGCGATAGACATAGTAATTATCTTGACTATTACCCAATATATGCATGAATCAAAATGCAGCAGTGTGCTTCATAAATATATACACATATATGCCAATCAAGAGAAACAGAAACGATCAATTTTAGTGATCTGAAACAGTTCAACTATGGAACAGCAAATCTCAGATTGAAAAAAATAGTGGGTATTTAAATAGGAAAACAAAACAATATTTTGATCTTTTACTTCTATGAAAAAATACTTTTATTGTAACAATGATTAGATGTGCTTTGTATAAAAATTCAATAAATTAAGAACATCATAATAAGTTGAAGTCACTCATGAAATGCCATAGTTCAAGAATTGGTCTATTAACATTTGATCTATTAAAATTCGTGTGTGTGTGTGTGTGTGTGTGTGTGTGTGTGTGTGTTTCACTCAGCAAGTATGTATTGAATGCTTGGATTGTCAGTGAGTAAAGTATACAAAAAGTTTTGCATGGAGGAAGGATTATATACACATGGATATGAAAGTTGAGGTTGTACTGTATACAGATGTTTTACATCCAAACTTTTAAATCCTTTCAATAAATATTATATCTATATTTTTGTCTGTGTAGATACAGACACAAATCAAGCATCAAATAAAATTGTATGTAATGAGTATGATATGTACCTCTTTCTAAAGGCCTGTGTTTAGAATTACAACTAAAATGGTACCATGGCTTTTTATCCCTGGGCTTCTAATATATTGTGTTGTGCTCCCAATTCCAAAATACAGTCACGGTGACAACCTAAAAATTATCTGTATAAGCAATATTCTGTGCAGACAACAGAAGGTAGAAATATGACCTGGCTCCTACTGATGGTGGCTACTTATCTGTTCTGTGTTACTTAGTTTTCAAAATTACAATGAACCATTTGCCCTTTCATAGAGGAATCCAGCCCTGCTTAAAGATTCTCAAGCATAATTGATGTTGATGTCACATCTGTCTGGGACAATGTGCATATTTCAAAACTTGCAGATTAGTACAGAAGTAAAGTACAGAAGTAAATAAAACATTTAAAAATGGGAGAGAAATAAAATAGAATGCAAGCCTCATAGCAGAATTAAGTGGTTTCAGTTGCTTGTGGTAAAACACCTATTGATTTACTTCATTTCTCTCTCATTGCTATATAGGAATGGTTTTTCTCATTTCTTCTACTACTGTTTTCATTCCTATTTTCTTCCAATTTACATCAAGTCAATGACTCTTCTCAAATGCCTGCAATGGACCTGGGACGTGTTGATAGTTTTAATGATTCCAATTATATTGTTGCGTTTGCACCTGAATCCAAAACCACCCAAGAGATAATGAACAAGGTAGCCTCAGCTCCATTCATGAAAGGTATGTTTTCTGGAGTTCATGATAATTTTCTTACTTGCCAAATATACAGATTCATTTTGGAATTTCCTTGATAAGTTATGTTAAATGTTGATGTTTCTGGAGTTTATTAACAGCACTAAAGCATAGTCCTTTCCAGTGGCAAGGATGTTTTCTTATTCCCTGGACTAGTGTCCTGTTAGACAATTCTGTTAAAGGGTTATTATTCTTCATAGCACATATTAAAATGAGTTCAGCTCATTTTTATTTAAATTATACTTTAGAGAAGATTCTGGGACCATTGAATGGAAGTGATACATTTTTAAAAATCTCTCATCAAATGCATAAAATTCTAAACAAACTGAATAGCAATGCCAAATACCTATGAGCGATATGTACAACAAAACTAGGTACAAAGTGTTTCCTTGTATCCCAAAATACAAGTGATTGAGGAAGTGTTTCTCTCTGGGGTGGCAGGAGAACAAGGGAAGCAGTGGGCTATCTGAGGGGCCTGAGGAGAACGCCTTAAGAGCTAACAAGCATCCACGGGAAAGTAGACAGCCAACTGAAGAACAGCACTTGAAGCCATTTTTAGTAATTATCTGATAATGTAGTATTTAGATTGCTATTGTGAGGATATTGTATGCTTAGAGTGGGATAAACCAAATAGGGAATTATAGAATAAATCTCATTCTTTGATCCTATGTCCTTGAAAACCAAGACTCTCAATATGAAGAAAGAAGATGAAAATCTAGAATGATGGCATCGACCTATAGTCTGACACCCTGGGAGATGTAAAGGTCAGGGGTTCTAGCCCCAGTACTAGAGAAAAGAAGAGGCAGAAGTCTGGGGCAGGAACCTTACAGAATGAGAAATCTTGTCAGTAGAGAGAGGTTAGAAAATCATCAAGAACTTTTTGGTTATGTCAAAAGGATTGAGGAGCCAACTTGTCTCAAATTGGGATTCAGTAAGTGGAATAATTATAATTCAAAACTTATCAAATAGAAATTTAACTCTGCCTTCAGAATGAGCTTTTTAAAAAGCATAATTTCTTGTTTACATTATAGGGTAATAGCAAATGAGTTCTTATGATACAAACTTTTAAATAACTGGGGAAATTCTAGCATGTATCCTATCTGAACTATATAATTCCATAACTGTATAGAAAATGGAAAACTACTATTTTATAAATAGCTTTTTACTTACAAATGAAAGAAATATAGCATCAGCATTTCAAGCTTTCATTAACTAATGGATCCAGGCACTGAGCATTAACTGTTGCTAATATCTCCAAAGAGATATTAGATATTAACAGTTAGATATTATGAGCTTCTGATAATTTATCACCATGTATAATCTTCCTCCATTTAAGCCTCTGAATGCAGGTGGTGGATTACAGGAAATTCAGAGAACACAGGAATATGTTGTAGGGATCAGGAATATGCACCAGACTCTGAATTTATGTGGGCTATGTGGCCTGGGTTTCATTAGTAACAGCCTTTTACATTATATATTTTAGAACAGACAGTTCCTCAAGGAAACATTATCATATTTGACAGGTGTACGACATCTGTCAAAATCTGGCCACAGTGATATCGCTGTCAAATGAAAATAGCTTTGCTGTTAGGTAGGTCTGCCTCAACATGAATTTAAGTGGATGTCATGGAATTGCTGCTACTTAAATTCAATACACTTTAAATTATTGGCTAACCACTTTTGGGAAAGGCAATATTTGCAATAAAAATGTTGTAATAAAAAGCAACATATTTGCAATAAAAGTACTTGCCATAAAACACTTCTGATTTACTCTGTAACAGTAGAAATCTTCCACCTCAAAAGTATGAGTCTTGTAGACCTAGCGCTGCATTTGGGGAAGAAATACCTCTAAAAAGTGACTTTAACATAACTGAATTTGGCATGTTGTTTTTGGACCACATAGAAATCTTGCTTAACCGTGTTTTTCTTCACATGGCAGGAAGGACAATCATGGGATGGCCTGACGAAGAGAGCATGACTGAACTGGATTTAAATTATTCAACAGATGCAGTGAGAGTTATCTTTAGTGATATGTTCTCATATCATTTGAAATTTTCTTGGGGACATAGAATCCCTAAGATCAAGGAACACAAAGACCATTCAGGTAATCTTCCTAGGAGAAAAAAACTTTTCTTTTTTCTATTAAAGCATTAGTCACAAGGAGGTATATGTTAGAAGCTAAATGAACCATGCAAACTCACAGTGTATTTTCTGAACGTAAAAGAAATCCATCCTTATTCAGCAGAACATATATTTTAAAATAGGGTTTTCATAAAAAATTTATACTTTCTAATAACTTTATATTACTCCTAATAAAACTTTAATGAAAAGCTCCTTTTTAAAAATTCCCAAATATTAAAAAATAGTTTAGTGCTCTTTTGGGGGATGCACAAGAAACAGAAGAGAAAATCTCAACAAAAACATTCTGAAATTGAGAGAATTATAAAGTTGAGTGAAAAATCATAGTTACTTGGTCTTACAAATATTAACAAAGAAATTCTAGTGCATTTTTTCTTGGGTGCACTTTACAAACTTCAGTGATGCCTTACCATACACTACATTATTATGGATTTTTGAATTCCATTAGGAACCCTGGAAATTTTGACTTTTCACATAACCAAGAGCATCCTATGCTATAATAAAGGATGTGTTCTACTTTTTTTTTTTTTTTTTTTTTTTT